CCCAAATAAAAAAAAAAAAAAAAAAGAAAGGAGGAGGGGTGAAACCAGGTGTCATTGAGAAGGAACACCCTGCTTGTCAATGCATAAGTTCACAGTCTTCAGAAATGTGTGCTCACTCAATCTGCAGGTCACTGGTTTTCTTCACCTAAAGATAATCTAAGGAACATTATATATCTGTGCACATGCTTTCCTACAAGGAATTCTAATAATTTGAAATGTACTGTGAACAGAACACTTTAGATAAGTTACATTTCAAGGAGAATTACATGAAGAAAGTTATTCAGTAAATTAAAATAAAATGTCCAACGTTGTAATTTCAACTCTGTCAGCATTCCACACTTCTGATAGCTTCTCAATAGCCTCATCATCAATATTATGCAAAGATTAGGCTTAATACTCCTTACATTAGCTATCTTCTCTCTTTATCACTATCCTCACCAACAGACCCTCCCCCTCACCCAATTTCAAACAACTAGGACAAAAGTATGCAAACAATAATGGAAAGTTTCATCAAACATTTTCCGAAACATCCTTCAACATATAAATCTCATATATCCTCAGGACACAGGTGAATTACCTCATATAGACTCAATCACTTTCTCTTCTGTGTTCCCTCAGGTTCTAATACTAATCTGTCTTATAACATTTATCACCCATGTTTACATGTCTGTATCTTATTCAAAATGTGAACAACTTACCAAATGACCACAAACAGTACAAAAATAAATATGACACAATATATTTACAGAGTGAAATACTATATATATGAACAACCTGAAACTGTATGAAACATGAAAAAAAACTTACAAAATAATCATGTGAGAAAGAAGTCGCTCATGTATATAAAGTTCAAAGATAGGGAAGAAAAATTCATAGTCTAAGAAATCAAAAGAGTTTTTACTTTGCATAGTACTGGCAATTAGCATGGGTAAGGATTCTGGGGATGTAAATAATGTCTGTTTAGTGATTTATATATTGATTATACAAGTCTAATCTATTTTTTAAAAATACTTGAGCTTTACACTTACAATGTTTGGTTCTTTTATAGATATAAGTTTAATAAAATATTCACAAAATATAAGTCTTTTAGTGGCTGCCAAGATGTATTTTATTTATACTTTATCCTTGACAACATCTATTAGAGTCCACTGCATCACTCAGAAGTTAATATGAAAATGATGCATGACTATAAAGTTACTCAAGTCAGATACAACTTGTCCTTCAGTCTTCTTGTTAACAGTTTCACACATGCATCCATTATTCATTCATTCAATAAATATTTTCAAATGTGTTCTATAAGTCAGAAGCTACTCTGAGGCAGTTTAAAACTATGGTCCATGCAATAAAGATAATTTTAAAAACCTGTGGGAAACCTGATGCAATGTTTATAAACAAGGATATTCAAGAGGAATAAATTTCTAAATATAAATTCATGGAGCGGTTCCATCAGTAGTGAAAAAGTTCTACATCAATATTTTAATTTAATCATGTAATCTACTCCTAGCCACTATTTAAGAGACTAGAATTTCTCATAGTTGTAGCACATTTTTATTTATAAGTACGCATGGCACATCCCAATTGCAAGATCAAATGTTTGCCTTTAAGTGTCATAATTGCCTCACATGCTGACATCTGTAACTGGAGATTTATATAACTGCATTTTTATAGACTGAGGAAGTAGAAGTGCTATTGTACTGAACCTCTTCAGATTTTCTTTCTACTATTCTGGCATCATATTGTCAGTATTCTTTAAAGACATCTGTTCCCGTGATTCTTCAAATGCTGGCAATTCTCACCCTTCTATCTCAGCTCCGATTCTCCTCTTGCCCTCCCCCGCTTCTTTCCTTGCTTGCCTTTTCTTCCCTTCCTGCCTTCTCTCCTTCTTTCTTTTTTTCTCCTTTCTGACAATAGAGAGCTTTTATTGTTTCAAAGAAAACTACCATACAAAGATCAGAGAGAAGGACAAAACTTCCTAATATTAAAAACACTCACGCAAATTTGGGGGGTAACTACTCAAATTAAGGATAGTAATAAAGATGACAATCATATGTTATATAAGTTTATATCCCATTTTTAAATAGTATGCTTAAAAGATAAAGAATAAACAACTACTAGAAAACACAACTTATCTGTGCACATAAAATAATCAACATCTTGAAAAATGTGAAAATGAACATAATTCCAGTTATCATTTTTCTGAGTATAAACTCTTCAAAATGAAGCTAATTCAGAAGACATGAAAAATAATAATATAAGGCATTATAAAATTATGCTAAGAAATAAGTGCTACCCATCCAGTCTCACATGTTACATCAAACATTCTACATATATTAAAATGTATTCTGAATAACATTACAATCGTGAAGTCACCAACTTAAATTTTAGTGAAAGAAAATAATACATATCCACTTTTAAGAAGATTTTTCTTCTTAGAATCACCCTGATAAAGTTACAGATATGTGTGTGTGTGTGTGTGTGTGTGTGTGTGTGTGTGTGTGTGTGTGTGTATGCCTTCTTCAAACTCTTCAGAATTACAAAGTTTCTTCTGAATTGTGAACATCAAGGTATATTTGAGAAAGACATACCTCAATCAATGTGAATTGGGGGTAATTAAGGAGAGCATCAGACGGAACTGGTTTACAAAAAGAAACAAACAAATCAAACAGAACATGATCAAACAATAATCAAACACAGTATATTAACTTTACCTCTTGTTTGTATAAGTCTAATTTCGGTTGGTAGCTCAACCTTCAATCTTATAAGTAGCTTACAGAAACTCTTCACTTTTATACAATCATACACACATTGTGTTATTGATGCCAGAATTTATTTATTTTTATATGTTGCATCAATTAACTTTTTGTGGTCATATTCAAATACTTTTTTTACTTTTATATTATTGTTAAAAGTGCTTGATGAACCACTGTTAGAGTATTACATTAGTCTGCATTTTCATATATATTTGCCTTTTCCAGTAAACTTTGTACTGTCATGCATGCTGTTTAGCATCCTTTCATTTCATACAAGAAATCTCCTTTTAGTATCATTTGTAAGGCAGTTCTAGTCGTGACAAATTCCCTCAGTCATTTGTTTGTTTGAAAAAGCACTTATCTCTCCTTTATTTATAAAGGACACGTTTAGTGGTATGGTACTCTCATTTAGCAGAACTTTTTCCCCCAGCATTATATCATAACACTTTTTTCTGATCTGCAAGGTTTCTGCTGAGAAATCTACTCATAATTAAATAATGTTCCCCCATGAGTTATGAATTGCTTTCTTTTTGCTGCATTAAAATTCTTCTTTGTCTAACTTTTAACAACTTAATCAGAAACAAGTGGAACTTCTTGCAGTGAGAAGTGAAAGCCCAGAACTGGGACTAGGGATATGTTTATATTTATGGTGACAAAGACTGAAAACTGGAGATTGAATAATATCCATTAAGATAAATTCACTAAAATTATCTAAAAATATGGGGAAAGGTACTGTGAGAGAATAATAGAGTGCAAAATCCATCTTTTCTCATCTCACTCTATCTCTTTGTTAGCATCCTACTCAACACTTTCCTGAAACTAGACCAGTTCTAGTGAAGTTAATGATGTTTGGCCACCCGAACAAAGCAAACATACCTGTCTCATCCTACTACAACTTTCAGCAGCATGTGACACTGTTGACAATTCTGTCCTTTGAAAACTCTTTTTTCTTTTCCTCTGAAAAGTCTGTGTGTGTGTGTGTGTGTGTGTGTGTGTGTGTGTGTGTGTGTGTGTAAGGCTGTTGCTTTTGTTTCTTTTTATCTCACCAATTAATGCTTTTTACATTATTTGTTGAGTATTCTGTCACAGATTGATAAATGCTATTGTGGCATCAGTTCTGATTCTATTTATTTATATAACAATACTTTTCTTCTAAGATTTTTTAATCTAGCAATGTGATTTTCCAAGTCATGTGTACATTGATAAATCCACTGCACGTCTCTATCCTTCATGTCTCTATGATCCTCAGAGTGGTATATCCGAGAATCTGCTGGATAATTGATTGCCTAAGATACACAGCAAATACCACTTAGTCAATACATAATTTTTCTTAATAACTCCCTTTATAGGTTCTTCTTGGTAAATTCAAATCTTACTAATGTTTGCACTTAAAAACTAGACATTTTTCTCCACTTTTCTTTTACCCTTATCAAATCCATCAATAAGTCCTCTTTTTTCTCTGTCCAATTCATTTTGATTTATTGATTTCTGAACTTTAACATTGTCATCATGACTTCTTTCCTGCAGTATTTTATGAGCCTCTTAATTCATCTCATTCATTCTACTCGTGTGCCGTTCTTCCCACATCAATTTTTCTTATAGCAGACAGTAAGTCATTAAAGAAAAAAAACACTGCTATGTCAAGTAATTCCTCCAAGTAATTTCTTCTTATTGCTCTAAGAATTAAAAAAAAATATACTGCTATCCCTTGTAAGAGTGTACTTAAAGTGAAACTTGCTCATGTATGGAAAGAGAGGTAGAAGTACACATCTGGTTTTGCCCTCACTTCCCTCCTTCTCAACTTTGTACACTCTCACTCAAACTTTTCAGATTGCCTCTCTGATAGCTTTACTGTTTCTAAACTCAAACATATTGTTGCCACCCTTGTTCACTAAAATACAGGTATTTGCTCACTCTTTCTATTTTCATAACAGTTCAAGCCTCTTTCTTACTACGCTGTTTAAATACATTCTGTCTGCTTATCTAAAATAGCCAACCATGTAGTATTTCATATTACTATATCATATTACATGTTATTTCTTCTACAAAATGTATTCATTTTTCTTCCAACCCAAACCCCCTATCTTCAACTTCCAATTTCTCTTTTCATTGGCCTACCTCTTCTTTCACAACTGGCAGTTGTTTTCCTCCTAGGTTTGTCTTTGTTCCCCCATAATACTTATCAAGTATGTGATAAGTGTTTACCCATCACCTAATAAACTTATGGTTTTGCTTTCTTGCTTTTGGTTAGAATGCTCAAATTGAAGAAAGTTTAACCTAAGAGGTCTAGAAAGTTATCAGTTAGTATACCTGTGATGAAAGAAGTTCCTCGTGTGTCAGACTATATGGGATTTCTGGAAGCCTGAGGGAACTATAGCCACTCGCTTTGTAGGGAACAGAGTTCTAAAGGTTCTAAGGGATGCAAGTTGCATCCCTAACCCCTAACCCTAACCATAACCCTAACACTAAACCCTAAACCCTAAACCCTAACCCCTAACTCCTAACCCTAACCCATAACCCTAACTCCAACCCCAACCCCAACCCCAACCCCTAAGCCCTAACCCCTAACCCTAACCCTCCTTTATATCTCTCTACCCTACAGAGTCCTGTTTACACATTGAACACCATTTCTTGGGGGCAGAGTTTCTCAGGTCAGGGCAGCCTCAGATGAGACTGCAGCAAAGCTCTGTAATGTGAGTTTCTGTCTCAATTCAGTCACTAATGCTATGGGGCTCGTGACATTACTAATCACCCTACTTTCACAATTCTTGCTATGGCTACAAGGACTGGGCATGAGCTCTGGCAGGCCTGGTCCCTAGAGTGTCTTAATAGAGACTATTACTGGAAATTTACAATACATTAGTCATTTATTTACCATGACATTCAATGAAGTATTGTTCTACAGTGTTCAAAACTGAAAATGATCAACAAGAGCATAATAGTCGAGTGAATAAATGGCAGTTGATACTAAGAGAATATGAGACAACAGTTGATAATAACTTATAGAATATTCCACAAATGCTCAGTGCCTCAGTGGTCCTCCTGGACTTTGTCAACCACCTCCCCTTAACCTTTCCAACAATTCTCATGACAGACCCTACAATTACCCCATTTCATAAGTGGGAGGTGAACCTGCTGGGGTCACACACCTGGGCAGTACTGGCCAGCATGTGAGCAGGCACAAGGGGTGTCAGCAGAGAGGCTGATGTCATAATGGTACACAGAAAAGGAGACGAAGGGTTGAGCACGGTTTGATGGTCAGACATGACTTGGGTCACCCCACATGGGCCCAGTTCTGAGGCTGACCAGCCTGTACCTTTCTCGTCCTTACATCAGGTCCGTGCCTCATCATAGGAGGAGCACAGAACGCAGGCAGAGAATTCACACACACAGCACCTGTATGTAGGAGGAACTCAGGAGATGCAGGCTATTACTCCATGAAACTCAAAACAGACAAATCTCAGAAATAAAGAGGCCACAATGACAGCTGAGTGGGTGTTCAGGTGGTAGGTCTGCATGTGTGTCCTCCTAAGTCCAGACCCCATTCTCTAAACAGACGTGAACTCGGGCAGTGAGTCAGGCTGCAGGGAGCAAACAGGGAGTCAGAGGAAACTGCCTCCCGCCCCCATCTGCAAGGTGGGCTCCTTGCCTGGGCTCTGCAACCTGAAGTATGGCTGCGTCCCAGTGTTGGGGTCCTGGCATCCCCAAGCCCACCCATGTCCTGACGCCCACCTGGGGTGGGGAGAGAACTGAACACAGGAAATGGTCCCACAGCCCTGTGTGGCCAGGGCCAGGAGTTAGACTGAACACAGGGACTTCATGTGGCCAGAGGAGGGTTCTGCACCTGACAGCCAGTGGCTCTGAGATTGTCTCACCTCCAGGAAAGTCCAGGGCCAAGACCAGTGGCTCCCACGCCCCTTGAGTGGTCTCTGGGGGCTGTGGAGGCCCATTTCTTCATATCCTGCTGAAAGCAGATCAGAATGGAGGGGAGGCTTAGTGAGGCTCTGAGTTCAAGCCTCCTTCCCAGGTAAGAGCAGCCCTGCTGGCTGGAAAAGCATGTCCCCACTGGGTCATCCCAATATTCCTTGTTCATTTCTTGCCTGTCCTTGGTTGGAACAAACAATCCACAATTACCAATCCAGGACACCCCAAATCCTGGTGCTGGGCTCACTGCTCAAATGTACTCACTGACCCCCTCCTCTGGCCACATGAAGTCCCTGTGTCCAGTCTAACTCTGGGTCCTGGCCACATAGTAACCTTGAAACGCAGAAGGGCATCCACAGCCCTCCCTCAGCCTCAGTGACCTCCGTCCCCACAGGGTGAAGCCCTGAACCTACCGACTGGGGACAAGGTGTCCCTGTCACCAGATTGACTACCCAGGTCTGGCCCTTGTCAGAAACTAGCCCTGCAATCCCAAGGAGGCCGAGGCCCTCGGGCCACTCATCTCACCACTGAGGCCTAGGGGATCAACATGGGGCTCACCGGAGGACTGCAGGGATTTGGGATCCTCCTCTCTTGCACTACGATCTTCTGCGCTGGCTTACTGGGCTGACTCCCTGCACTGGAGAAGGGTCATTTGGCCACTGGTGATTGGCAACCCAACTGCACACCTGCTCCGTGCTCGAGCTCATCCTCAAGGCCAAGTCATCCTGCCTCCAGACAACAGAACTAGTCCTTCTTCCATTCCCGGAGCCATGTGGGTGTGCAGAGGTGTCTCTGACAGCTCACTTCCATTGAGAAAAGAGGCAGGAGCCCAGACTAACCTCTCCAAGGACTGCAGAGATGACACCAGGTGCACTCAGGCACTGGATACAGGAACATCCCCCGAGCATTTTCTCCGCGAGGCAGGGAACAGTCAGCATGGTCGGACGGGCAGGCCTTGTGCCCGTGGCTGACCCCCTCTCCCAGGCCAGCAGAGGCCTGGACAGGCAGGACAGGCAGTTGTGCAGCCACGCGTGCACATGCTCGGCCCACCCAGAGCTGCACTCGGGGACACCCTGAGTTTTTGGCGGGGCAGGTCCTGCATCGTTGTGCCCCTGCGCTGGCACGAGCCCACTGTGACATGGGACAGTGCGTTGTCCGCGGCTGCCTGCACACGGGCTCGTGCGTTGGCACTCACAAAGCTTCCCTTCCCAGAGTCACCCGTGGAAGGACCAGACTCAACGCACCAGGAAAGCCAGCCGACTGGACAGAAGCGGGAGCAAGCACTGGGAGGCCCTGCTACCGAATGGCAGAGAGAAGCGGAGGCGGGCGTGCGGAGAGCCGGGCAGTGTCGGGCGCAAAGCGGGTGGGGCGAGCACTGAGGAGCGCCCCGGCGATTAGGCGAGAGAAGTGGGCGGGCGGGCGCTGGTGCCGCCTGTAGCGCGCGGAAGGGGGAGGTGGGCGGAGCAAGCCTCGAGAGCCTGCCATTGGACAGTGCGACCGTAAAAACGAAGGAGATGCGTTCCATCACGCTCGAACCTGGAGAATACGCTAGGAGAAAGGAGCCGAGCGCAAAAGGACAAAGAGAACCTCTGCTAGGAGGTGCTTGGAGTAGTCCGATGCAGGAAATAAAAGTAGAATGGTGGTTTTCTGGGGCTCAGAGAAGAGCAGAACACAGGAAGTTAGTGTTTAATGAGTTCGGTCTTTCTGTTGCTGTTGAAGGTGGAAAACATTCTGGAGGTGGATGGTGGCGGAGGCAACACGGCAATAAGGATGTCATGATTGACACAGAACAGGATACTTAACAATTGTTTGAATAGTGCACCTAATGTTATATATATTTACTCACAAAGAAAAACGTGAAAAAATGATATATGCTACAACATGCATGGTCCTGGAAAACAGCACTCTTGGTGAAAGGAGTCAGACACAAAAGGCTCCACATAGTGTGAGTTCATTTATATGGAAGATCCAGAACAGACAAACCCATAAAGACAGAAAGCAGGTCAGCGGTTGCCACGGATGGGGGATAAATGAGAAGTCCCTTACTAATCGGCACTGAGTTTCCTTTGTAGGTCATGAAAATGCTCTGGAACACTGTCAACGTACCAAATTCCACTGGGTTGCATACTGACAAGTGGGTAAAATGGGAACATTTTTCTCAAGTAAATTTACCTTAAAAATGCTCAGCTCTTGTATTATTTTTTTACTCACTGTGCATAGGACTTTGTCCTCAAAGAACATGGAGCAAAGTTACAGCTTTCATACGCCCTGGTGTCTCCACAAACATTTGAGGTCAAAGCCCACAGTCACAGGAGAAATAGCTCTCTATTCTACACTAGGGGCTTCCATATTTGGACAGCAAAGCAAGAAATGGAGACTTGAAATTGACCTCAGAGATAATCACCAAATGTGAGATGGGTTTTGGTCTCTAATGTTTTCCTCTCAAAAAAGCACACTCAATATCGATACCTTTGTGTCTTCAGGTTTGCATAAGTCGTCTTGAGAGGACCGTAATAGAGTATACCATAGACTTAGGTTAAGAGCATGCTATAACCCAATAAATATGCAATCGGCTTGTGAACAATAGCACAGTCATTTTAGTTTTCTGTCTTAAAACATAACCTGTAACTGTTTAAAGTTCCAGTTTAAAGTTCCAGTTATGGGAAAAACTGCAAAGCTCCAGTTATTCTTCCCTTGTCTCACTTTCCCCTTAGCAACAACCAATCAGGTGCCAGGGAGAAATCACCTAAGTTTCCAGATGTCTCTGCAACTTCCCTAGCTAGTGGGCCAAGGTCAGGTGGAGTCAGGCTAGCCAATCCTCCATGATTAAGCTGACCACCAGAGATTACTATCCAATTAAATGGTAACAAGACTGGAAAGCCCCCCCAAACTCCTCCTCCCTTTGTGTAAAAGCATAAAAGGCATCTGCTTAAGGAAGTCAGGACCTCTGGGTGTACTCCGCTGCGTCGGTTGTCGACAGAGGTCCAGGCTCAAGCTTGCAAGTAAAGACCCTCTTGAACTTTCATCAGAATTGGCTCTTGGTGGTCTCTCGGATTGAACTTTCGGCCACTACAGTCTCACTTAACAGTAAACCATGTTAGAAAGTTTGCTTGGGTCCCTGTGTTGGAGACAAAGAATATAATGCTAGTAGAGACCATGATCCAAGTCCATCACCAAATATCGTTGAATGAATAGAGGAGTTAGCCGGTTCCAGACTAGGACATCAGTGAGTTCTCCTCATATTCACAGAGTATGATTAGGGCCTCTTGATTTCAAGTTCCAAGGTGTGGCTGGCATTTAAATGAACACGTATAGGTCTTCTCATGGGAATATATGCATGAGCATTGTTAGTACATAGCTTTAGTTTGCCAAGCGTTTCAGATATCTTTTAGGAGAGTCACATGATTTTGTGCTGGTCAATTGCCCGTCTAGCTCCACCTGAGGAACAGCAAGTTAACGATATTTCCAGGGGGCAGGTTTCCTTGGATGAGAAAACACCTGCCAGGACGTGGTATTCGGAGATACTAAGCCTTTCCTGCTGCACTGGTTTGTCCCCCAGTCTCCATGGGTCAATAATTTGCCGTCCAGCAGGGGGCGACAGAGGACACCATTGGGTTCCCTGGGCACGTGGATGTCCATCTACCCCAAGTCCCACACTGGAGCCCTAACACAATGGCACCCCTCACTGCATTTCAATACATAAATATTAATCATTCATCTGTTTAAATGTCCAAACTTTCATACTAAATGTCTGTTGTATAAACAAAGATTTTTTTTTCTTCACTAATTCCCTGATCATGAACTTTGGTTCCATTTAATTACTATTCCTTTGATTTATAAATTGAGAATGATTGCCACAGGCGATTTAACAAACACTGAATTTTTTGTCTTTAGAAAAGCCATGCTGTTAACTTTTCTACTGCTAGATATCACACTTCTGTGACTTTAAAGATTTAGCTGGATAAAGTCTTAGAAAATTTGATAAGGGTGGGTATTGAGTAGACAAGCTGAGGGAACATGCATAAAATCAAGACACCCAAGAGCCTGCTGTGTCCCCATGAGTGAGAGCAGATTAGACTGCAGGTAATTGGGGTGGCCAGGAGAGGGCAGCAGGCAGGGGGTGCACCTAGGGTGTGAGGGCCATGGTCAGCACTGCGGCCTCTGTTCTAAGGTAGTGGAAAACCACAGGTAAAATTACAGCGAGAGAGAGACATGATGAGATTTGGGTTTTATAAGTGAGTTTTTTGCCATTATTACGTTAAGATCTCCAGTGGTGGGCAGGTGGATCTGTGCTTCTTCTGGTAGGCTGCACTGAGCAGACCTCAGACTTAGCCTGGGGGTCCTGCCAGGAATGCAGAGTCTGCATCTGCTCAGGAGGAAACACGGAAAGACCCGGCCTGGGGTCACCTCTGCCCTTGACATCTGCCAAGGCTGTGAAACTGAGGGATGGTCTCAGGAAAAGATGCCAAGAAAGAAAACTGGATCCGAAGGGGGAAATCCTGAAGACAAGATGGAGAGCACCTTGTGCTGCTGCCGCTGTAAGGCTCCTGTAAGGACGGAATTACGGGAAAGGACCTGACCTTTATGCAAAGCCAAGCCAACAGCACGTCAATAAAGCAGAGATGACATCGACCTTCATTCTAGAGGCTGAGCTGGACCCAAATTCACGGCAGAAGCTGTGACCCCCAGGTATCCAGTAAGAGTCCGAATGTCATGTTACTGTCACATGGCCACTGTATGGACATTACGCCAGTGAACATCACGTCAGTGGCATGACATCAGTGGTCCCAAGTCTGAGTGTAGAGAAGGGCTTTGGGTGCGGGGGACACAGTGGGTTTTGTCTCCCATTTCCCACATAAGCCCGCCCCCTCCTGGGTCCCTGCCACCACCACCACCACCCCCGGCATTCAGGACTGTAAGTAGGGGGTTTGGCTCACCGTGGACGTGGTCTCAGGTTGTGGCAAAGAGAGGTGGGGCCCTCGGGCTGCACTGAAGGGTAAGCTCCTGTCCTGGCAGAGCTGACGACTGCAGGCGCAATGGTCCCCCCGGGTCAGAAAGGTGAGCTCACCGCCTGCCGCTGACAGGGGCACTGCAAGACCTCGGGCTCCCACACGGCGGGAGCACACCCTTCCGGGCCATCCTGCTGAAGCAAAATTCAGAGTTGAGGTCACTCAGTGCCACTGTTTTGGAAATTAAAATGGAAATGGAACGCACTGTCCTGTGTCTTTTCCAAAGACGGTAAAAGAATGATTACTTGGAAACCATAGAGAATGAAATAAATGTAGACACAAACTTTACAACTGACACAGAAATGTACTCAAAATAGTCCTCGGACTTAAAATGCAAAAGACAAACCACAGACTGAGAAAATATTAGCAAAATACGTATCTGAGGAAGAATTTGTATTCACAATATACAAAGAACGCTTAAAACTCAACAATAAAAATATAACCAATTTTTTTTAATGGGTAGATATCAGAAAAACACCTCACTAAAAAAGAGACTAAGATGACAAATAATCATACAAAAAGATGCTCAACACCATATTAGGGAAGTGTAAAATTATAATAAGCTAGCATTGCACACCTGTTAGAACTGTTAAACTTTAAAAAAACCAAAATGGGAACCCATTTGCTGGAGAAGAGACAGGAACTCTAACTCATTGTTGGTGGAACATAATATGGACAGCCACTTTGAAAGGCAGACGTGGACGTGGTTTCAGGTTGTGGCAAATAGGTGGAGCCTCTTTAGGAGATCAGAATGTGCCACACCAAACAAGCAACAAGACCAGAACTGATTCTTGCACAGAATGTGTAAGGCTCAAGTCATTGGCTGAATTTTTTTTTTTTTTTAAGTCAGGGGTCTCACTCTGTCACCCAGGCTAGAGTGCAGTGGCACAGTCACAGCTCACCAGCATCCCCCACTTCCTGGGCTCAGGCAGCCTTCTTTCTTCTACTTCAGCCTCTTGAGTGACTGAGACTACAGTCATGCACCACCATGCCTGGATAATTTTTTTTTTTAATTTTGTGGAGACAAAGTCTTGCTATGTTGCCTAAACTGGTCTCAGACTCCTGGGATTAAGCAATCCTCTCGTCTTGGCCTCCCAAAGTGCTAGGATTACAAGCACGAGTCACCACACCCAGCCCTGATGATTTCAGTCTTTCAGAAATTTTATCTTAAATGGCTTTAGGTTCATACAATATCAATACTTAAAATTTTGAAATGAACATTCTGTTTCTGTTCTAAAACTCACAAATTTGGCTTACAACAATCTCATCTAAATTTGGAAGGGTATGTGTCTGTGTGTGTGTGTAAATATATAATATTTTTAACAATACCGCTGACAGTTGGATCTTGCTAAAGACATCTTATTAAGCAGAAATTAATTAAAAATCATTTAAGGCTGATAAGCTAAGAAGTATAGTTTTAAAATATTGTTGGCCGGGCGAGGTGGCTCTGCCTGTAATCCCAACACTTATAGAGGTCAGGCATGAGGATTGCCTGAGTTCTTGGAAGGATCTACAG